GCTGTGATTCAGCTGTATCTGCTGAGATGTGATCAACAACCACATCACTGGATATTTCATTCCCCAAATGATCATTAGGGATCATGTCTTCATCAAAAGTATCATTGACATTTCTATCATTTGTGTTGGATTGACTGTCTAGACTAATTCTAGGATCACTATCAAAATCTGTGGAATCCCATGATTTGTAATTTACCTCAGTAGAGATGGGAACCAAGGGTAATGAAGGATTGAATCTTTCATTTGTGACTTCTGGATCAATTCCCCTGAAAGGATAGGCATATTCATGGAACTTGACATCCCTAGAAACAAAAACACTTTCATCAGCTAAGTCATATAATAGATAACCTTTTATATGTGCTGGAAATCCCAGAAAGATACACTTTCTTGCCCTTGGCTGAAATTTGGTCCTTCCTTGTGATATGGTGGCCCCAAAGCATAGACAGCCAAAAGATCTAAGCTGATTGTAGTCCACTTCTTTGTCAGTCATCAATTCAAAAGGAGTTTTTCCTTCAATAACATCAGTTGGAAGTCTGTTTATGATATATGCTGCATGTAACACACAATGGCCCCAAAAACTAGTAGGTAAACCTGACTGAAATTTCAAGGCTCTAGCTATGTTCAAAATGTGTTGTTGTTTCCTTTCTGCTACTCCATTCTGTTGAGGGGTATACACACAAGATTTCTGATGGATAATTCCCTTTTCATTGAGAAAATTAGTCATTGCAAATTCAGTTCCATTGTCTGTTCTAATGGCCTTAACCTTGCCAGAGAATTGAGTATGAGCATAATTGCAAAAGTTTTGAAAAATGGCCTTGACCTCTGATTTGTTTCTCATCAAGTGCAACCAAGTGAATCTACTAAAATCATCAACAAGGGTTAAGAAGTAATGTTCCCCTTTGAGGGATGCAACAGCAAATGGACCCCAAACATCCATGTGCAACAATTCAAAACATTTTTGAGCTCTAGATGTGCTGACAGGGAAAACAGTTCTCTTATCTTTAGCAAAATGACAAGCATCACATATGAAATCAGCATTCTTAGATAGGGACACAGTTTTTATTCCATTCAAAGATGAAATTTTATTGATGGGATAGTGACCTAGTCTATTGTGTCATATATCAACAGTCAAGCTATTACATTGTAGGCTGGAACTCTTATCATAGAGCTGATTGTTCTTCTTGACAGGTGGATTAGTTATCAAATAGAGTCCTTCCTTTTTCCTTAGCAAAACCATCCATTGTTCCAAGAGGGCCGTGGATGGTACAATAATCAGCTTCCATGATGATCTTGTAACCTGACTGTTTGGTTAATTTACTGGCAGACACAATGTTGAAAGCAAAAGATGGTATGCACAAAACATTTTGAAGAAGCATATGCTTGTCAAGTCTTACAGTCCCTATGTGTGTGACCTTAGCTGTTTCCCCATTTGGCATTTTAACAGATATTCCACATATTTTATGACTGATTTCAAAAAATTCTAGGGAGCATGAGATGTGATCTGTAGCACCTGAATCTAATATCCACATAGAAGAAGAATTCTGGACAGTATTGATATAAAAAATACCTTCATTGTGATCTTTTGCAGGGCTTTTAAAATCTGTCCTAAGTCCAGAACCAGCCAGTGTCACAGCAGCATTAGTTGATGTCTGACTTCCTTTGCTTTGGTTCTGCAATAGACACAACAACTTTTGGAACTGATCATTAGATAAACTTGTATCCCCAACCTGATTCACAGAGGTATTTGTAAACTGCTGTGTCTCTTGAGTCATCTTATTCTTGTTCTTGTATCCTGGGATCCACCCTGGTGGATAACCATTCTTTTTATAACACTTCTCAATGGTATGGCCAAGCATGCCACAAAAGGTGCACTTAGGGACATTTTTGCCTCCATTGCTATTGAACTTCTTCTTATTATTTGAGTTTGATTATTCTGAACAGCATTAGCTTGAATGAGATCAGTGGCTTTCTGATTAATAGTGCCTCTGATCTTCCTTTCCAATTTCAAAGTCATGTTTAGAACCCTCCCTATGTCAGGCATAGGATCCAGATTTGATAGGTTCATAGTCCTCATTCAAACCTTCTAGGAACCTAATTATGTGATCATCTTCCCTTTCTTTTTGCATCCTCTCCATGAGAGTACAGGAGCATCTAGGCATACATTCACACAAAAGCAAAGGTCTCAAGGCATTCAGGTGATACATTCACACAGATGCAAAGGTCTCAACTTGCATCCTCATTAACAGACATATTTCCCTGCACATTTCTGTATATTTCATTTTGCACTTCTGATATCTTATGTGGATCAGAATGAGTGTACCTTTTGCTAAGAGCATTCCAAATGTCCGAAGCCTTGTCGAAGTATATCACAATCTCTGCTATCGTAGGGCTAACAGATCTCAAAATCCAGGAGCACACAATCCGATTGCATCTCCTCCAAGCTGCACACCTCAGATCGTTCTCAGCAGGACTCGGAATAGCTCCATTGACGAAGTCGAACTTGTTTTTGACTTCCAGGGCTATCTTCATGGCTCGACTCCATGATGAGTAATTGATCTCGGTCAGAACAGGTGAAACAAGGACAAGGTTGGGATTCTCTGTTATGTGTAGATAGTAGGGATCGTCGAACTCATCACTGCGTTGATTCACCGGGCTCTGGTTCGATGAAGCAGCTGCATGTTCTGCACGATCTCTGTTCTCGATTACATTTTCTGCCATTGCTACGGCGGCATAGCTTCTACGGAGCTCTGATACCATGATCAGGATGCTCAAAATAGTTCAGTAGGGTTTTGGAGGTCATGATTGGAGAGAAGAAGTTCTGTGTGTATCATTGTGAAGGAGAGAAAAGTTACAAGCAGGCAGCTAACCAACCTAACACATACATATAGAGAAGGAAAAACAAAAAACGGTTATAACTAACCTTAGAACTAAAAAGACTAAAAAGCCCCTAAGTTCTAAGATATAAGCTGCAAGATAGCTGAGCACTCAAAGCTGTATGGACGGTATGGAGGCTTGATTATGGAGCTGCATCATGCTTCATCATCATTACTTAGGAAAAAACTCTTCAATATGCAAAATAAATAAATAAACTCTTCACTTCCAGTGACGACACACTGATAAAGCACACGCATATTGATCCAACTACAATTCAAAGGCCAACTTTTCCCCTATTTAAATACATTCTATTCTTCTCAAACAAATATAAACACTCTATAACACATGTAGAGTAGAGCAGTACAAATTGATTCTCACATTGCAGTATTATGAAGAAACTTACAAAATCATCATTATAGGCAACAAAAGAAAACAATATTCAGGAAATAAAGGTAAAATCGCAAACTAATCTGCAATGTGTTTATTTCAGCTTTTGTATTCTCCTCAAAGCTTGCTTATGTCTCATTCACTGATCTGCTATTCAAACATTTGTAACCAAGTTCATCCTCGCACAAAAAAGTTTAAAAAAAAATATAATATTAGTAATTTTAGTAAAAATTAGAAGTATAATATACTTTTTTTGATAGAAATCCCTAAAGTAGACTAAACAAATATTAGGAATTTTAGCTGTAATAGAGGAATAGGAGAATAAAGTTCAAATAAAACTTCTCTATTGTTACAAAAGTAAAGAGATGATTTTTGAATATGGCGTCTTATACTGTCTTATAGAAAAGAAAATACAAAGCCCTATAAATAGATGCTAGAAGACTACGAATAGGAAAAAGTTTCCATGTGCCTACCTACCTAAATCCTTAAGACTGCCTAATCTAGAGAGATTCCCTATATCAAAATATATTCCATACCACTCCCCTCAAGTTGGAACATACTGATAACTAAATAACGAACTAACTCAAATCCATTTAGGACACTCCTTTGAAACGAAAGCTTTGAATGCCACCAATCCCTACTGACAGTTGGGTGAACTCAACATAGACCGAACAAGCTCGGGATTGGACACTCTCCCTGCAACAGAAGCTTAGACGCCACCAATACCACGACAAACACCGGGTGAACTCGACGTGGACCGAACAAGCTTGGAATTGGAACCTCCCCCTGAACCAGAAGCTTGGACGCCACCAATACCGCAACTCCGAGTGAACACAATGTGGACCGAACAAGCTTGGACACACAAGGTAAAGAAGAAAAACTCCGAACATTCTTTACCAACGAAAGGGAAACATGCCCCAAACGACGTACAGATACAGAAATTATGAATTTACAGTACAAAAATTATGAATCTACAATACAGATATTATGAATCTGCAGTATAGGAATTATGAATCTACTGTATAGAAATTATGAATCTACTGTATTTAAATTATGAATCTACGGTTTAAAAATTATGAATCTAAAGTATAAATTTTATGAATCTACAATATAAAAATTATGGATCTACAGTATAAAAATTATAAATTTACAATATAAAAATTATGGATATGAAACTGTGCTCACCTTGTAAGGTGGACACGTGCTCACAGCATAACGTTCCCCGTAAGGTAACGGAACTTTACTGGCCCGACCAAAAAGTAAAGTGGCATAATAGCATAACATTAATTAATTAAGATTTGTTGCCAAAGTTCAAATCCTATTTATTACTCCGCATACTTCATACTTGTAAGTGAAGAGTCATAACGGTAAAGTCATTATTATGCTATCAACTCACAGTGATTAATTAAAAAATGATGAAAAAGGCACCGAACTTAGCATAGTGGTTCGTCTCCTAACTTGATATTATGATTAAAGGCGATAATGTGGAATCCTAATTTTACTGAAAGAGTTATTACCATCTGAGGTCCTCTGAGTATAGTGATTTTGTCACGTTTAGTCCTAAACTTTCAAATTGACCATTTGTGGTCCTTCGACTTTCAAATTTAACCATTCATGGTCCAATTTAACCACTCATGGTCCTCCAACTTTCGAAATTTAACCAACTATAGTCCTTTCAAGAGGACCACAAGTGGTTAAATTTTGAAAGTTGAAGGACCATGGGTGGTTAACTTGGACCATGAATGGTTAAATTGGAAAGTCGAAGGACCACAAATGGTCAATTTGAAAGTTTAGGACTAAACGTGACAAGACCAATATACTCGGAGGATCTCATGTGGCATTAACTCTACTGAAAATATGAATGAGAAAAAGACCCATAAAAAGTGTGGATTGAATATCTTGTCTGCACATAAAGACTAGAATCTGACTGGTAGATTGATTGCGCGACTCGCGATTTACTTCTGCGGTGACTCAAGGAACGACTCACCTAAATATAATATAAAAAATAAAATAAAAAAGATGAAAAAGGGGTCCAACATTCACTTTTATAAAAATGCTTGTCATCGACCTCTCTCATTTGACGTGGAATTTATATCTATATCTATATCTACATAATAATAGAAGTGCCGGGAAAGATTTTTCCCAAAAACTTAGGGGCATATTTGTCAAATCAAACTTATAATTAATTTAAATAAAATCATTGATAATATTACCTGCAATCTTTATTTCCAAAATTACGGACAAATTATGTCATTCACAATTAATTTAGATGAAATCATTAATAATATTGCCTGCAATATTTATTTTCAAAATTACAGACAAATTATGTCATTCATAATTAATTTAGATGAAATCGTTGATTTAGTTGAGAATTTTCCAGATTCTAGAACTAATGGCGATATGGGATTTCGGGGGGGGGGGGGGGGGGGGGGGCATTTTATTGGGAAAGTCGGCCCAGCTGTCTAAATGGGGTGTCCATCTTTAAGGGTGATGTGTTGGCCCAACAAGAATAATGGAATTCTATCGGGCAAGGAAAGAAGAAAGCTTGGAGCAAAATATTATTAAAATTATTACTAGAGAGTATCAAACCCACAACCTCAAGTATTTTAGATCCCCTTATTTTTTAGGATTTTAATATAAGCATCATAATTCTGAGAGTCAAGTCAAAAAGAGGCAAAAATAGTAAAAGTCTAAGAACAAAATTAATTTGAAAAATTTATTTTTTCAAATTAATTTTGGTCCTACAAGTATTTATTTGGAAGACAAGTATTAAGAATTGTTGTTACAATGAACAACCGGATGAGCCTACTGGCGAAATGGTAGAAATCTTTGCACACATCGATCACACCCAAGATTGAATCCCCCTAAAAACTTATCTTTTTCTAGAAGCTAAATCTGAAGGAACGCATCTAGCTTAAACAAGCAAGATGTGGCCAAGGTCAAGACACTCAAAATGCACAAGAAAAACGTCTGAAGTGTATGGTCAAAATCAAGTCAAATAAATAAGCAAAGAATCTACAAGAAAAAGGAAGTGTGTGAAGACATGATCAGAACGGTGAAAAATTAATCACAATGAGCATGAAGGCATAGTGAAATCATATCCATAGAAATAGCTTGAAAATCAACTCAGAGGATTTAATTCTTTTCAGAGAGACTGAAAATCAACTCAGAGGATTTAATTCTTTTCAGAGAGACGTTGGTGGAAGAAGATATTATTTTTTTATAAACAACTTGAAAATCAAGTTGATAAAAAATATTATCTTTTCAGACACAAGTTGGCAAACAATCAATATGAAGATATCAAATTGTCGAACAATATTAGGCTACAAGATTCAAAATTCAAAAATCAAATTATCCCGCTCCAACGGATACATTTGATCATCTATATAAAGCCATGAAGACTTGAAGATGAGCAGGACGGACGAACAACTTGCAAAGAGAATTATACAAGTGCAAATTATCTTTGAGTCAAAGTATTCTTTGAAATATCTAGAAAAGAAACTTAGTCTGAATATTCTCAAAAAGAGTTGGAGAGAAAAACAATTACCATCATTTGTAATTGTAAAGAGTATAGCTGTGTGCAAAATACTCTAAGGGAGTGTAGCTATGTGCAAGACACTTAGTTAGCGTAGGAGTATAGCTGTGTGCGAAGTACTCGAAGTTGATAGTAGCTGTGTGCGAGACACTCGGAGTTGGGTGTAGCTGTGTGCAAAACACTCGAAGAAGTGCTCGTGTAGAACTTATTCACTATTGTAACTGTGTGTGGAAGATAGTGAATTACTCCTAGACATGAAAGGAGTAAAGTGGACTAGGAAGATTACGCCACTTCCGAACAACTATAAATTCTCTCTCTCATTTACTTACTGCACTTACTTGATCAGCGTTGTATGCTTAGTATTTGACTAACCCGGTTACTATTCATTGCTTGATCTTATCTATTCGAGTTTAGTGTGTTTCACGTGTGCATGTAACTCAAACTCTTCATGCATAACATCTAAATTACTCTAAGTAATCTTGACGTGTTGCATGTGACATCTATCACACGATTGGTCTCGAACGAAGTCTTATATACAATCTTGATTAATCTTGTTAAATATTGAGTGAACCATCTCCTTTAATTCCTTAAGACTTTCATGTCACTCTTACACATCATCTTGAATTAACCCTAGCTTATTTAACGTAGTGTATGTGATATAACTTGCTACGTTTTCATATATAACACTTTACACATTTTATTCCGATGTGCACTCCACTTTTAACTACTTGGTTATTTACTTGTTACTTGGAGTTGAAATTACCAAAGTGTTATCATTTAAATAAAAAGTTTAAAAAGTCTATTCACCCCCCCCCCCCCCCCCCCTAGACTTTTTATCACCCTATCGGGACCAACAGTCAACCATCCGTGAATCCCTCAACAGTATAAATAGACACCCTTCCCTCTCTTCTAAAGGCACCCCTTGGCTCACCAAACCCCTCCTGATCCATTGATATGAGTCTTCAACCCCTTGTTGGCACACCAGGATTCGAGTCCTATCGGTAACATATTTAGTTTTATTTCATTTATTAGTTCCCTTAGCTTGATTAGTTATTATTTTGGGCCGTCATTCTGGGCATGTACCTCGGGCTTTGTACGTACTATTTAGGGCCTAACGCCCCGGATAATAAAGCTATTCTTTGCCTACCCCCACTCTATATTTTTGTATCCGGTTTATGGTGGATACGGTCCCAATAAAACCATCAAGAACAATGGCGGAAACAAAGATCTTTGAACTCAACCATGACACAATCTAAGTTAAGGTTTCAAACTATGGCTGCACCATCACCTCCTTGTCTGTACCAGATAAAGATGGTATGCCGCCTTCATTTCTGTCATTCAAATCGTTAAGCAATTCACTGATATAAAGATTCAATCTTTATTTGATATTTCTGTTGCGTGTGTGATTTTTGAAGGGAAATTGGATGATGTGGTTATTGAATTTGACACGCTTGAACCCTACCAGGTGAGCTTTGTGAACCCATTTGATATTTTGTGTTTTCTTATGAGAAATTGGTGATGATGATGATGAGATGAGTTCAGAAAGGGATGACTCCATACTTTGGATTCATTGTGGGGCAGGTGGTCAATTGGATCAAAGATGGGAAATTCACACTCAATGGTGTTGGATATTCTCTGCCATTAAACAGCCTCCCAACAGTCTCTATGGTAATTCTCGATCTACAAATTCTTCAGAATCAGAATGTAGTATATATTCTATTTCATTGCTATTTGATTCGATGAGATGTCGGATAGTAGCTTGGTTTGAGTCAAGCAAGATCATTTATGTAGTGAACGCTATTTATTTACTGTTCCCCGTAATCACTCCCGAAGTGTACTTTTGCGCCTCGGGTGAAGCCTGCTTTGTATCAGAACTGATCGACTCAAGTCGAGAAGCCAATAGATAATTGAACTTGGAACATCGTGTTACCAACATACAACCTAGGGAGTTGAATTAGAAATCTTATGTTTATCAAGCCAATGGTCCTTTATTGGTTTATTATGTAGGATGATCTTCTCCATTGAGTTCCAAAACCACAGAGGGAATATTGAATTATTTTGATTGTTTTTTTGTTTAAGGCGGATGAAGAGATATGAGTATATGACAAGGTTGTCTAGGAGGTTTCTGAATTTAAGGATGGTGAAAATCCATCAATTGCCTTCAAATATCAGTCATGATGGGGAAGAAGATACATCTTTGTAATGCAATCTTTATTATTATTATTATTATTATTATTGTTGTTGTTGTTGTTGTTGTTGTTGTTGTTGTTGTTGTTGTTGTTGTTGTTATTTTCATAATGCATTTTGTATCTCGCTCAAACTCAGAGACACTTTTGTCATATCAACATTATTGGACAAAATTGTAATTTTATATTAATATTTAAAAATCTTAAATTAATAATTATACTTTCCTAATTAACGATTAATGATAATTACTAATAATTAGCTCCAATATCAAAAGGAAATGTTAATCTCAATTACCATTATATAATAATGAAACGCATGCATAATGTTATACCAATATAGTAATAATGAATTAATGATAATAAAATCATACTAGCCAATTATGCACGAAATGTAAGCTTATGGTCTTGAACACTAAAACATTTACCAAGAAAACGGCAACAGTAGTAATTACCTACTCAATGAAATACAATTCAGCTTGCTTTTCTTTCTGCTGTGACTTTTGATACTAATTTATACAGCATTGATCGGTTTGAGTGATATTTTTGCACTAATTTTATAATTCGTGATATTTTTAAAGATAATTGCAAACAAACGATCGAGTCATATTAGCTAATAAATTGAGTGATCTTTTTACACTAATCTTATAATCAAATAAAGGTACACTTTCAAATATTAAAATTATTTATAATTTTATCTTTAATTTTATTATCTAAATATATAATAAAAAAATGTTATCCGTGCATCGCACGGGTAATTTACTAGTTAATAATATATTACAATGAATTGATAAGACAAATTTTATATGAGTTAATACCATCTGAGGTCCTCCGAGTATAGTAATTTTGTCACGTGTAGTCCTAAATTATCAAATTGACCATCTATGGTCCTTCGATTTTTAAATTTAACCATTTGTGGTCCAAGTTAACCACCCATGGTCCTTCGAGTTTCAAAATTTAACCAGTCGTTGTCCTCTTGAAAGGACCATAGTTGGTTAAAATTTAATAGTTGAAGGACCATGAGTGGTTAACTTGGACCACGAATGGTTAAATTTGAAAGTCGAAGGACCACAGATGGTCAATTTGAAAGTTTAGGACTAAACGTGGCAAAACCACTATACTCGGAGGACTTCAGATGATATTAACTCAATTTTATATTTATGGGTCGATTACTAGTTAATAGTATACTACAATGAATTGATGAGACAAATTTTATATTTATGTGTCAATTAATAATCTCTCTCTCTCTCTTTCTATCTATATATATATATATATATATATATATATATATATATATATATATATATATATAAAATCTTGATGTGGTGAAAACACCCCATTTAGGTGAGATTGTGAGATCATATCCTAACTATTTATTTTATTAATCAATGGTTTAGATTTCTTTTATTTTTATGCATATAACTAGAATTTTAATTAGGGGAAGATTTAAGTAATTTAATGGATACCAGGACTATGTGGTCCAATGGTACCCGGGTTGGACTTCCATTTGGAAGGTTGTAAGTTCGAGCCTCAGTGGAGGCGTTATTAGCTCTTTGTGTTTCAGTAGGTTGAGAAAGTATATGAACAGATACTACAATGTAATAGAGCTAGTAGCATTCAAAAAAAAAAAAAAGTAATTTAATGGATTTATGCATCTTTGTCTTTTTTATTTAACCGTGATTCTCTCTTCTAATTAATATACACAGCCTCCATTATTTTTTTTCCGGCTTCTAATCTTCCGTCTCTCACGTCAAGCGCACACACTCACAAGTTGGTTTCTATAGTCCAAATCTAGGAGGGACCATGGATGCTTCTACGCTGCGACGATCGAAACGACTGAACAAATCCGCCACCGGTGTGCAAGGTATTCTTCTTCTCTATTTTCTTCCTTACCCGTTTTTGTTCGTGTTTTTCATTAGTTTTTTTTTCCGGTCAGGTGGGCGGCGTGGGGTTTGCACGACCATTTGATTTCCAGGGGGTAAGTGTGTTTTCGTGTTTCTGGGTGGTGGGGTTTTTTGGGTTTCCGGCGTGGGTGGGAGATGGATGGGTGGTTTTCCGGTTTGGGGTTTGTTAAGGTTTTTTTTTTTTTTTTTTTTTTTTTTTGGTTATGGCCGTGTGTTTTGTATGATTTGGTTGTTTTTTTTTTTTTTTTTTGTTGGGTGTTGTTTTCTGGGGGATGACGGCTTAGGGGGTTTGGTGGGTGTCGTTTTTGCCTTTTTGGTTTCCTTGTTTTTTGAACAGACTTATCAATTGGTTTTAGGCAATGTGTGTTTTTTTTTTGGTCAGGTGTGTGCGCTTGTTTTTTAGGACAATTTTTCTATCTCTCTTATGCGGTTAAAGTACCTACGAGGTCCCTGTACTATAGTGTTTTGTTCAATTTAGTCCTTATATTTTTATTTTGTTCAATTTAGTCCCTGTACTTTCAAAAGTAGTGGAATTAAGGACAATAGTTAACGATGTTAATATTATCGTTAACTTTGGTTACGTGGCACTGATGATATTTATACTCCTACTCATATATTACTTTATAAATATTTAAAATCTATCATTTTTACCACCAATATATTAAATTAGTATGTCCAAAATAAATAATTAAGACCATGTTCGTAATGAGATTTAGACAATTGTCCTTAGTTTTACCACTTTTTAAAGTAGATGGACTAAATTGAATAGAATAAAGGTACAAGGACTAAATTGAACAAAACATTATAGTACAGGGACTTCATAGGTACTTTGACCCTCTTATGCAGATGTAAGCATTGATTCTACAATGCAGCAACAGTTTTACTCCTAGAAATTAGAAAAGACTCTAGTTGAGGTTAAAACTGTAACACCCCACTTTTCTTAAACTTATTTAACAAACTATTACTTGAAAGATAAACTAAAGCAGTGGATTAACGCTTACTAAACAACTAAGTAAAGGTGTCACCGCCACAATCACCATTCACAGTGACTGCATAGGCTAAGGATAAAACAAATTAAACATTAAGGTCTCGCTAACATTCAAACAACTAGGGGATAAGACCCCGCTGTCCAGCACCATCAAAAGGTTAAGTAATATCTAAACATCAAAGTTCACAAGATTCTACACTAGAATCTAACTTCTCCAAAATCTACGCACTAAACTAACTCGTGCGCGTTCAAACACTAGGCCCACCTGAAAGGGGTTAACAAACAACAAGTAGAAAACAAACCCGTTAGCACGAAGCTAAGTATACCTCACTCAACCCTGTAAAGTACTACAATATATATACTTTTGGAAAACATTTGGTTCACATACTTAGATCAATCATTCTCAATCACTCAACAACAATTAATCATGCTCAACAGGGTTTCTAGATGCTTGCAGCCTAATTATCAAATAGGCATGCTTTCACAATTATCTAGCTTGTCATCAAGCTCATACTTTCACATACTTAACTTATCAATAATCTCAAGTCTATCTAACATCTCAGTAGCAATCTCATGCTAACACATAACTCAATAAGCAATCTCATACCAACATTCACTCAATAGGCAATCAGATGCTATCATATGATTTCTAAGCAATCTCATACTATTATACAACTCAACATGCAATCTAGTGCAATCATATACTCATTATGCAATCTCGTGCAATCATATACTCATTATGCAATCTCGTGCAATTAACTTTATCATGCATTAAAATGAACATGAAGCTTTAATATAAGTATGGATAGATATACGTATACACTCTTTCGTAAAAAGAATACTTTTTCTGTGGAGGTTTCTTAGAGTCACAATGACTCACTTTGCTCTTCATTTCTTAGAGTCTCTATGACTCGTTTTCTTAGAGTCACAATGACTCGCTTTCTTAGAGTCACAATGACTCGCTTTCTTTACTCGTGGGCGAGGTAGGAACTTCACCGTAGCGTGAATGGACCTATCCGGGCTCGGCGTCTAGCCGGCCTAATACTCATCTCGTCCACAAAACCACTCTCTTGGTTCCATATCTCAAACTCTGTGGAATCAGGTATCGAACTATCAGTGTGCACACCCCCTGACCAGGATTCCAAGCCTGGCGGGCAGTTTCCAACCTCGTAACGTGGGAATACGCTGCGTTACATGATATCGGATCGCAATGTCCGTTTCTTTATCTTTTCTTCTGAAAGGACATAGTCCCAACGGGTCCTCCAAAACCACGGTTTACTTACACTAGATACGTATAGATATAGCTCATGCAATTTAAATCATGCAACACTTTACTTATGCAAAAATGCACATAGCTTCTCAACAGTTCCACAATACAACAAGATGATGACTTCCTAAGGTAGCTATGAGTTTTTGGAAAATAATACTTAGGCTCACGTTGGCCACTTATGCACTTTTAAAACATGAAATGCTCAAAATGCTAATTACTGTGAGACACGCTTCAAAACCAAGCTACTGTGAATTCTCAAAGAATACTTAAATCATGCTTGTAAATCATAACTAGACAAATCTTCTCAACAAACACTTAGCAAGTATTTAGCATGCACTTGGGACTTAAAATACTCAACTTATACTCATTCACTGCAATTTAGCATTCAAGATAGACATGCTCTGTACACTTCAACATTTAGGAACTTGGCAATATTCTCAATGAATCATAAAATACACTTTGGGCATGCTTTTCTAGCAAAACCTAACAAATAGTGTTCATGTTTCTCTATTTCACAATCAAACAATATCATGCTTTTCAAATAGATAATCTAACACTAATACTTCTCATTCCTACTCACTGTAACATACTTTTAACAATTTCTGCAACAATTTCTTTCACAAAACCTAACACAATGAGCTCATTTCTTCGCCAAATTCAACGAAATCAAAGTCTAAATGTGCGTCATGATGGCCCCAAGGTTCTATTCCACAAGGGCCCGCGATTCCCGGTCCGAAATGACACGTAACTGAGCCACAAGGGATCGGCCACTGCACAGATGCTGCTTAACGGAGCCCTCGGCGGAACTCCACAAGTCCCGCCCCCTTGGCCCGGTATTCTCACGGCTCAGGGCAACGGCCTTCTCTTAGGGTCATTCCCTAGAGCCGGCCATTCACAGGGCTAGCCAACGGCCTCCTCCGTGAGCCGTTGGCTGGGCCCGTGAATCCTACTGGTGCACACTGTCTGGTGCACCAGATGGTTTCTTTCACCTGCAAGATTTATTCCAGATAATCTAACACCTCCAAAACCTCAACAACACATCATAGATCAATAATAGATCATTCAATAGCTCAAACATTTCAATAAACTAGCATTTCTACTCATTTATATCACAAAATAGACTTCACAGAGTCTAGAGTTTAGCTTTGGGAGTCCATGGGGTTATACCTTTGTAGACTTCTTCTCTTGAGATGGGATTCCACCTTCTTCCCAAGCTAGTTACACCCTTCTTCACCTCCTAAACATCTCAAACAAACCACACAACAACTTATTACCAAGTTCTCAGAGAAAGGATGAAAGCTTAGGAGAAATGGAAGGCTAAGATTGAATGGAGTAGGATGAAGAAAACTTACAGTGTTGCCTCTTGATTTGCAAAGCTGGGATGTGGGAAGCAAAGAGTGGAATCAAAGAGGCAAAATTCTGATAAGGTTCTTATTTATAGAGGCACAAAACCCTAGGATGATTGTAACACCCCACTTTTCTTAAACTTATTTACAGTTCTAAAACCAAAATCAAGATAAACTAAGCAGCGGATAAACAGACTTAAATAACAAACTAGTGGGAATGTCACCACCACAACCACCTCTCCACGGTGATGGCACAGGCTAAGGATAGAACTAAGTCATTAAGTTAAACTAACATTGAAATTACTTAATTAAAGTCACTTTGGGGAAAAACACCACGGTGTCTAACACCAAACATAAATAACATAAGTCTACAATCCATCATCATAACAATAAACAGAGTTTAGACTATTAGATCTACTAAACCAGTCTAACTCGAATAACTCTCAAAGGTTGGGCCTACCTGGAAGGGGTTTTGCAAAACAACAAGTAGACAAGTAGAAAACACCCGTTAGCACGAAGCTAAGTATAACCACACTCAACCCTGTAAATTACTACAGTATATACTTTGAAAAAAATATTTGATTCACTTTCCCAAATTAAGCAATCTCAATCACTTAGGCAAAACCTTAAGATAAACTACAAGCTTTCTATACGCTCACAACTTATAATATCAACAGGCATGCTTCAACGACAAATAACTTATCAACATAATCACTCTAACACATATTCAACATAGCAAACTCATCATAACGAACTCATGCTATCAAGCAATTGCGTACTATCAATCAATAAGAAATTATTCTCATGCTTTTGAGTTCTCATCATGCAAACTAGATATATAAGACATCAAGATGCAACTAAGGCAATCATACTCAATATACAATCTCGGTTAATCATTCTCATTATGCAATCTAGTGAAAACATTCTCGCTATGCAATCTCGTGCAACATTCTCATTATGCAATCTCGTGCAACATTCTCATTATGCAATCTCGTGCAATACTATAAGTATACATTGATGTAGCAAAAATGAGTGATGGTGAGTGTACGGGTGTGTTATGTCATCCTCAGGGGATTGGGGGATATGGCACGCAATACGCAATCACAAGAAACTAGGCACTAGCACTAGGCAATCAACAAGAAGCTAAGCAAACCATAACGAGGATGAGACAATGGTAACTAAACAAAAAAAAAAAAAAAAAAAAAAAAAAACACATATGAACAAGAGATAAATACGAAATAAAGAAATGGGACTCAAGCTAGGGAGCATTATCATCTAGATGCTTTAACAACCTAAGGGATTAGGGAGAACAAGTAACCAAGGAAACAAGCGGGAATGCACATAGGTATCCTAGTCTACAAACCATTCTCGTGATTAATAAACAAGGATTAGAACAAGGAATTGCCCCACTTTCATGGTGAATCAATTCCAAGTCCATCAAGCACACAAAGCATCTAAAGCCCCCAATTTCCCCTATTTTCGTAGGAAGAAATCGGGTCTATGCAAGGGGTGGCTTGGATTCATCACCCAACTCTCGTTGAGGCAAGGAATCCTCCAAAAACAAGCTAATGAAAGTGTACATCAAACATTAACAAGATATAAATACAAAACCTTCACAAACACATGAACTCTAGGTTGGAGTTCTTCCCCTTTTTGCAATAATCACAAATCAAGTATCAAGATAGATAATACAACCCTAACTCAAGTCCATAAACTAACTACTCATGATTAAATAGCATAAAGAACATAAAAGCATAAGTAATAAACATAAATCTTGCAAAAGAAAGAGATAAAAAGAAAGAAAACTTCTCTATTGAAAATGGATGGTGGAATCTTGAAATGTTAGAATCCAAGCTTCAAATCCAAGATTACAAGCTTCAAAAGTGTTAAGAAACATAAATCTAAGCCTAATCTAACCTAAAAATATGAAGGGAAGTAAATGAGAGTGTCTAAGGTTCTAACAAGAGTCAAAACCAAGTTGAAATGACACAAAAACGCGCCTAAATAGAGCAAAGCAGATTGGGACGCCCTCAGGGATGAGCGTACGCTAGGGGGTACGATTTTTGGTGCATTTCTAGTGAAAACTGGATCAGGGAGAAGAGATGCATACTGGCATGCATACGGGTGTACGGCAGGGCGTACGGGGCTGCTGAAAACAGAATTCTGTGCACTTGTCTTGGCTTCTAGGCTATTTTGCTCATCTAAAACCATTTTATTGGCACTTATGGTCTTCAATAAAGTTGTATCCCTTTAAGTTAGGTTTCCAATGATGCAAGAATCACTTCATTTGGACATTCCTAGGCCAAGATATGGTCGAAAAACTGAACAGTGTCCGAAATGAGCAAAAATTACAATGTCTTGATCTTTTGCTCCTCTTTTGTTTTGATTTGCCCAAATGACTAAGACCATTGAATACACCACTCTTAGGCTCCCTTGGAAGTATTTTGTCCATCCTCTTAACTTCTCATTGGCTCCCATGGACTCCTAATGCATCCAAAATGCTCCATTTGACTCCAATGTCCACCAAAATGCCTAAAAATACTCATCTTTGTTTCTAAACAAAACTCCTAGCAAAATAACACAATTTAATCATAATCTCATGAAATTTGGAATGATCTATAAGCAAAATGGCTTAGTGAAAGGGAGGAAAATATAGACAAATAAGCACTTATCATACATACACACTCGTTTGTAAATAGAATACTTTTCTGTAGAGGTTTCTTAGAGCCACAAGGACTCGCTTGCTTTCATTTCTTAGAGTCGCAATGACTCGCTTTCTTAGAGTCGCAATGACTTGCTTTCTTTACAAATGGATGAGGTAGGAACTTCACCGTAGCGTGAACGAACCTATCCAGGTACGGCCTCTAGCCGACCTATGCTCAATCTCATCCACCGAATCACTCTCTTGGTTCTAAATTCATCTCTGTGGAATCAGGTATCGAACTTTTAGTGTGCACACCCCCTAACCAGGATTCTAAGCCTGGCGAGCAGTTTCCAACCTTGTAACGTGGGAATACGCCGTGTTACATACACTTGGACCGCAATGTCCATTTCTTTCTTCCCGAGAGGACATAGTCCAAACAGGTCCTCCAAAACAAGGTTTTCCTCACCATAGATATATATAGATATATCACTCATGCATCTCATATATGCAACATTTAACTTATGCAAAAAGAAATGCACATACTTCTCAACTCATTCTCAAAAGGCAAGATAAAGATACTCTACATGGAAATGAGATTTTTGGAAAATAATACTTAAGCTCACGTTGGCCACTTATGCACTTTTAAAACATGATATGCTCAAAATGGCATTTACTGTAACCATATGTTTCTACTTTCTATTCGCTGTGAAACTCAACAATTCAATAAATCATGCTTGAAACTCATAACTTAACAAATCTTCTCAAATACACTTAGCAAGTAGTTAGCATGCTATTTGAACTCAAAAAATATACTCACAGTAAACATACTCAACATTATGAACTTAGCAGTGAATTGAACTTCAACAATTTATTGTAAATACTTTAGGCATGCTTTGCTAGTGAAAACCAACCATTTAGGCTCATGCTTTTATATTTAAAAACATAAAATATCATGCTCAACTCATGAATTGAAACAAGTCTGGTAATTCATAAGTCCAAAAATAGTGAATGAAACCAAATACTTTTGCAACAATTTCTTTTACAAAAACAATCATAAATAGCTCAAAACTTAACCAAAACCAACGAAATCAAAGCCAAAACGTGCGTCAAGACGGCCCGGAGGTACCGAGCCACAAGGGCCCGTGACACCTGGTCCCAAACGACACGTAGCTGAGCCGCAAGGGCCCGGCCACTGCACAGGGAACACCTTCACGGGCCTTGGGGCGGGGCTCAACTAGGCCCGCCCCTCAAACCGCCGATTCGCTGGCTCTAGGTAACGGCCCTCTCCTAGGGCTGTTCCCTAGGCCCGGCTGGCCACGGCTCTAGCCAACGGTCCCCTTGTTGGGCCGTTGGCTGGGGCCAATGCATCTACTGGTGCACACTACCTATGCACCAAATGGTTTCTTCTCATCTGCAATACAATCTTTGGCGATTCTAGCACATCCAAAACATCAACAACACATCATAGATAAGTAATAGATCACTTAATAGCTCAAACACTTCAAAATCTAGCATTTATACTCATTTCTACCTATGAAACAATGGCTTCACAGAGCCAAAACTTAAGATGGGAGTCCATGTGGTTATACCTTTGTTGCTTTCACTCTTTAGCTTGGATTCCACCTTCTTCCCAAGCTAGACACCTCCTTCTTCACCTCCTAAGCAACTAAAACAAAGCACACCACACCCTTAAGAACTAGAACTCAGAGATATAGGATAGAAGGAAAGCAGAGAAGCAATGGAAAGCTAAGATTGGATGAGAGGAAAATGGTTTACTGTGTTGTTCTCCTGATGCAAATGAATGGGAAGCCAAGAATGGAATCAAGAGGCAATGTCTGATATCTTTCTAATTTATAGGGGCACTAAACCCTAGGAGAAACCACAATGATTGGTGGGGGACAAAAATGGCAAGAGTTGGCTAGAAATTGTCTCAGGCAAAAGCATTGGAAGCTTGTGGTTCACCATGTAACATGGACCCAAGTCTAGAAGGATAGTTTTAAATAGTTTGGGGGTCAAAATAGATTTTTCCAAAAATGATTTCTATATAAACACTTGATTCAGGTTTCTCTGATTTCTCCCGGTCTTACTCATATAGGTTTCTCCGTTTAAAACTTGGTACGCGAAGTACCCGAAAATTTAGGATTTTGGAATTAAAATAAGTTCCGGTGTTGAATTAATTTAAAATGTAACTCAAAATAATTTATTCAAACACCAAATTTATCTCAAAAATTTTTATTGGAGTGAAAATGGCTATTTTGGAAGTTCTTAAAATTGGATTTATAAAATTAAATTTTGGGTTGTCACAATGATCCCTCATGATTGGTAGAGGGTAAAAGGGTAAAGTTTGGCTAGAAAGTGTTATCAGACAAAGGTGGAGGCTAGTGGTTTACCATGCTCCATGAACCAAGAGCTAGAATTGACATTTAAAATAGTTTGGGGTTGAAAATGAATTTTCCCAAAATGTTTTCTAGATAAACACTTGATTTAGGCTTCTCAGATTTCTCTGGATTTCACTCAGATAGGTTTCATAGTTCAAAATTTGGTACGCAATGTACCCGAAAATTTAGGATGTTGGATTTAAATCAAGTCTTGGTGTTGAATTTACTGAAAAGTGGTTCAAAATAATTTATTCAACACTGATTTTATCACAAAAAATTTATGAAGTGAAAATGGCTATTTTGAAAATTCTTAAAACCGGATTTATAAAATTAAATTTTGAGTTGTCACACAAACTATGAACTATAAGTGAAAAGATCACAAAACCAAATAATCACAATGATAATGTGAATGTATTACTTCTGTGGCAGAAGATGAATCAAGCTGGAAATCAGTCCCTTAGCCTACTGGTTCACTTCTTCCACAAATGCTTTCTAGATTGATCTGGAGCCGTCGTTAGCGCCATATAAGAGACATACAAGACCTGTTATTTTGGCAACCTGCTTCCACTATCGCGTACCTGTTAGATATAAATAATTTAATTGTACTGAATAATAGTATACGAGAAATCTGACCTCGTATAAGTGGAAGCGGTAGTCGTGTTGATATCCAGTCATAGTTGATGTTCTTCTTGTGTTGCCTCTTGAACGGTAGACCGTTAGTCATATTTGCATCATACTTGACTCAGAATCTTAGATGGTGTATTGGTGTCTACTCAGCAGTATGAATACCGTAACTGAATGTGATAGACAATAAATATCCTGTATCCCATCAATCCAGGTTTATATTAAGCATAGAGTCTGGTTGAATAATAACTTCTAGTTATTCAGTCCAACCAGAACACTTAATAAGTCTAGTCAACTTGCACCACTTAATTAAGGCCCTAATATATAATATCTAATATATATTATTAGGGAAAATCATACAGTACCACCAATCAATGTGTCTACTACGACGCTTGCTGCAAAAAAAAACATTCACCAAATCAACTTTGTGAAATGTGTGTGTTTTTTGCATTTTATATATGGACTTTGTGCATTTACTTTGTGTCTACCATACATGTACATTGGTGTGGTAGTTGATGCAAAACAATTGATTAATCTGTGCATTTGCAAATAAGTTTGACATAATGTGCACACTTTGGTGTGTGCATCTGTATTAAAATATATGTGCATTCACTCTAAGGCCTAACAAGTGCTCTCATTTTATCTCAAATTTGATTTGGTCATAGTCTTTTTCGTTTTATATTTTGAATGCTGATTTTTTTCTAACACGTAATACATACATTTTACTGCAGACTTTATTTACTTTATTTATTATCTTCGTTTATTATATTAGGTTCGTCATACACACACAAATTTGTGTTCACGCACCTACAACGACTCCCCATCATTGTGCTTTGGAGTCGTTCAGCATAACGCACACATCTAATAAATTTTCTGTATGCTATTTCCTGGGAGTGGCATGATACATGTGTTTCTATTTTAGCACTTTCTATGACATATGGCTTATAGTTACACGGAGTAATTAATTCTACAGTCTCATAGAACCATTTGACCTTACTTGAGGATTGTATTACATTTTGCAAATGATCGGGTGTGCTATCATTCAGAAGTTTTACTTGTATTTTCATTTCCCCTACTTGTCGCTACTTTGCTAGGAAGTGATATTCCTAGTAGTGGCTTGTTTGTGAGATGTGTACGCTTCAGTAGTTGGGTGTGTGCTTATAGTGAACCAAACATTCAATTGGTGATTGTGTGCATCATATTTCTCTAGTTTGGAACGCACAAAAATCGGCATTTATTATATGTAAAAAAAAAAAAAAAAAAAAAAAAAAAGAAGGTAAAATCAAGGTCTATCTTTCCGAGTTATTCACATTTTCAATTTTATCTTAAAACAATGCTATATTTTCTACTTATTTCTCCAAAAAATAATTTCCATGTTTTATAGTGGTGTGTGTGCATACACTATTGCTATGTTCTTTCAGTGTGTGCATCAAATATGCAGTACGTGCGTATCAGTTCTGTGGCCTGTGCAGTTTTTGTACTGCTATGCACTGGCTTGTTGTGTTTGCATGGCTGTAATTTTATTGCTCCCTTTTATGTGCTTAATATAATGTTTGGTGGTGAGATATTTGTGCTTTAGTAGTTTGGTGTGTGCATAGAATATTGCTATGTAATATCGGTGTGTGCATCAAATATGCGGTACGTGCGTATCAACTGTGAGGCTGTGCGTTGTGTACTACCAGGGAGCAAACCAAATACTTTTTCAAGATTGCAGCGTGCCTGTTCTTTTTATCTGTAGTGCGCCGCACAGCAAATGCATCTATTGAAGCGCACTTTTTATAGAACTCAACTCCATCTTCTAATGTATCAAATACCTATCCAACAACTGGTTTGAGGCATGGGTCACATTCTGTTAACCAATACTTTGTACTACCCTTCATAACACAATTATGTCCATCATCATTTTCTTTACTGGGTCCTGCATATTTGAGACATAAACACATAAACTTCTCTAACTCATCAATAACCATTTTGAAACATTTATATAGCACACATTGATCAGGCTAACGCACACACTAATCAGGCTAACAAAAAGCAAAATACGGTAGCTACTATGCACTTTCTAACCACTCGAAAATGCAAAAGCCTATACAAAAATCGGATTCATATAGTTGGGTTTTGTTGATTACGTAATTCCAATAAACTGACACAAGCCAAAAAGCAAAAAATGCATGCTCAATGTTGCAATGCTTACCTAATTCCCGGTGTTATGCACACGCCCAAATGTAGTAACGCGCACACCAAAACTCAAAAACACATACCAATTCACGCCCCACAGAGGACACCATACAATCTATCAAAGCTCCCTTAGACTTTGCACACGCCTATCTACATAAGCGCACCCACCTGGCGCGTTAATCACATGATTTTTTATTTTAAGTGTCAGATTAGTTTTTTTTTTTCTTTTTTTTTTCTTTTTCTCTTTCCTAATCACACTTACAAAAATTTCTCAAAAATCAAAAAAAAAAAAAAAAAAAAATTCGCTATTATGGATGCTCTAAGATTTCATGTGTATAATTGATTTTTATATATTCAACGTCATGTTTTATGAATATAACATTATACATTGATATGTAATCTTTAGGCAGTGCATCGCACAGGTAAATTACTAATATTCAAATAAGACAAATACGCATGTGGTATATTCAATTATGACTTTTATAAACTTTTAATTATTGACTTTACAACTCCATTGATATTCAATTAAGACTTTTAAAGAGTCTTTAAAAATACATTCGTATTTGATTCAAACTTTTAAAAAGTCTATATTGATATTCAAAAGTGCTGTTAACTTTTATATAATAGCAAATTAAGACTTTTGTATTTTTTTTAACTCTAATACAAAATAGTCGAAACCATTATTTGACCACAAACTTCAAACTCTTTCGGCCAATTCTATAGACTTGTTCTCTGATCTATACCTAAACAAACTTGACTTTTTCTTTCTATCTAAACTCTACCAATATTTTCAGAACTTTACACACATTTTTTCAATATCTAAAAGCGAATGCTAAACTGAAGGAATGCTTAATGCTTTAAAAATATGTAGGGGGTATTACTCTTTTTTTTTTTTTTTTTTTTTTTTTTTTGTTTAGTTTTGGACAGAAACCAACAATTAAATTTGGTTCAAGTTAGTCTAAAAACACACTTGTTTTTTTTTTTGGTTTTTTGTTTGTTTTAAATGTTGTGTATTATCATATTATATCACTTAGTAAAAAAGAAATATTCTCTTTTATTTTATAACTAGTTTTTCATGCGCATTGCGCGATTGGGATGATACCCAATGTTTTTTTTTAAAAAAAAAAATAAGTATTTTAAAGTATATCAAGGCAAGATTATATTGGAATTGTTCATGCATAGATAATTGAATGTTAAATTTGCGTATTTAAATAGGCAATTCTAAATTTACAAATACAAGATAATATAGTCACTGCTGGAAATCTCGCGTTTTCCGTCCAACATTAATGTTGGTCGGTAATCTAATAAAAATCTCAACTTTGCGCCAGTAAAATTTTGTGGACGGAAAGTTGGCCGGAACCGTCCAACCTGGATGTTGGACGGAAATTCCGTCCAACAGAAACTATTGGTCAATAAATTTGAATTAACGGGTAGGTGAGAAGTAAATGTGGTAGGTATTTTTTCCATCCAACAACGTTGGACGGTAATAACGGTATTTATTTCTACCCTGCGTATTTCAGCTCACTTTTTTCAACTTTCTTCTTCATTACTCTCTTCTCTTGCTTCTTCATGGGCACTTGACAACATAAAAAGTGATTTCCAACGAAGTGTATTCCATATTCAGGTATGATTTGAGTATAATAGCTTTTAATTTGTGTTTGTTTTTTTTTTAAATAGATATATATACTCTTGCAATGCTATTATTATTATTTTTTATCATGGTTGTATATATTTTAATTGAGTTATATATATATATATATATATATATATATATATATATATATATATATATATATATATATATATATATATGGACTAATATTAATTAATTATTAGTTCTCTAATTTCCTAATCATTTTTATTAGATACATTATTAATTAAATTGACAAATGGTGATAATTATTAGATTAAATACGGAGTAATATTTAACTATTATTTAACAAACTAACAGTAAATAGATTAACATTTAACTATTATCACCATTATTCACCAGTATATAATCAAATTGTGATAATTATTAGATTATATTAATCTATTATATATCAAATTGAAGCTATATTGTAATAATTATCCACAAACATGTTAATTTAGAAGCTTCAAAATATATATATATATATATATATATATATATATATATATATATATATATATATATATATATTATAGCTACAAAATTAATATGGTGGTGTAGTGTTATTAGTATATAGATTAAACATTTTTATTAGATATATTTGTGATTTTGAGATATTTGTACTTTAATACTAGGTATATATGGAAAGTATACCAGAACATCGAAAATGGATGTATAATCGATTGTTACCTGGAAAGAGGGGAATCACTGATGAGTTTTTAGCTGGTGTTGAGCAATTTGTTAAGTATGCATGTACACTTGCTGTATACCAGTTGACAAATACAATTAGGTGTCCATGTAGTAAATGCAAGAATAGAGTACACTTATCTGCTGATGATGTTCGTGTTCACTTGTATAAGAAAGGATTTGAGCTGTATTATTGGGTATGGACTTGTCATGGTGAACCTATTCCTACAGTAAACGAGCAAGTTTTGGAGACACGTAACGAAAATAATCAATATGAAACAATGGTGTTTGATGTAGGTGGTTCATCATTTGTTCCATTTCATGTGGAAAATAACCAAGAAGAAGAGCCACATACAAGTGCACAAAACTTTTATGATTTGTTAAACACGGCTAGACAACCTTTGTCACCTAGTTGTGTTGATGAAACGGAGTTGTCATATGCATTAAAGATGATGAATATAAAGGCAACTTTTAACATTCCACAGCTAGCAATGGATCAAATATTTGAGTACAATAAGCATATAATGGGTCCAAATAATCGAGTGCCATTTAGTTATTATGATTAAGAGAAATTGATTTCAAAGCTTGGGCTTGATCATGAAAAGATTGATTGTTGTGTTAATAGTTGTATGTTGTACTATAAGTCTGATATCAATGAGAGACATTGTAAGTTTTGTGGCGAGGCTCGGTTTAAACCACGATCGCCTACTTGTGCTCGTGGGAAAGAAGTTCCTAAGAAAAGGATGCATTACTTGCCTCTCATCCCTAGATTGCAACGATTGTATGCATCACAAAGTTCTGCTGAGAACATGAGGTGGCATTATGAAAATCGTCGTCAACCAGGTATTATGTGTCATCCTTCAGATGGTGAAGCGTGGAAACACTTTGATACTCAAAATCCCGACTTTG